AAATTTTTTGTCTGTCTGTCTGTCTGTTTGTTGCGGATAATCTCTGAAACGGCTGGACTGATTTTGACGGGACTTTCACTAGAAGATAGCTGATGTTATAGGGAGTAATATAGGTTACTTTTATTTTAGAAAAAAATTAGGGTTCCGCTAAAAAAAAATTAAAACGTATCCTATAAAAACTCTTATTGTAGGAAAAGAATTTTTTTTATTGATAACATTGAAGCTCGTCGGTAGCTATTAAAGAAAAAGAGTGGACAAAAAGATACTTAACCGTTTAGTTTTTACCTGTATGTATATCAGTATGTGTATCAAGAAAAAAATCATCTCTAAGGGTAATATTTTTTATGGTAGAAAGAGGAGACGTAATGACTGACGCTCCATTCTGCTTGGTTGTTTGAAATAATGCGTGTTAGCTGTTTTTGGTTGGACAGTATTTAATGCAGTCTAATATAATTATAGATCTAGTTTATTTTTGATTTCATTAGATTATTTTATTCATCTATAAGTCATAAGCTCCACCTCCTAGCAGATAAATGTATTGTAACGACAAATGTATTGTAACGGTAAATTTGACGACACGTTTGGCTCAGTGTGTAGTAACCCTACTTGCTGTGCCAGCGGTCGCGGGTTCGAGTCCCGCTGGGGGCATTCATTGTGTGATGAGCACGAATGTTTGTACTCCAGTCATGGGTGTTTATATTTATAATATGTATGTATTTAAAGTTTATATATGTGTAGTGTATCAACTATCTGGTATCTATAACACAAGCCTCGTAGCTTACCATGGAACTAGATTGTGCTGTGTGTTAAAAAAAAATCAAAGATATGTTTCGGCCTAAGATTAACTAGAACTAATTATCTGAATAAAAAAATGAGATATGTTCTCGTGTGTGCTGAAAATGAAGGAAATAATGTAAATCTATAATAAAAACTAGTAAAAGACGGTTATTATTTAGAGTATTAAAAATTTCAACTCTTTCAAATCACACTAGATATTATTATAAATGCTAAAGTGTGTGTGTGTGTATTTATTTGTTACACGCTGTAACCGCTCAATTTTGAGTGTTTGGGAAGGATATGGCTGATTTTCTGAATTGTTAACAATCTTTATAAATGTAAGAATCACGCGTAGACGAGGGTTGAAACAAGTACCTACTAAGATAAATATTTAATTGCATGAAAAAAAATACATACTGAAGTTAATAGTCCCTAAGAATTCCCAAGACTAAGTATACGTTTCGTGGCTTATCTAAGTGAAAGCAACAACCCCTTATTTCTTATCACATTGCAATCTACCCCAGCGAGCCAACCGTGTTGACTGCTCTCAATTACTCACATCCTCGCTGTTATATTTTGCTTCTCATAACACGGATTTGTGAGAATAACGATACTGAAATAGAAATTAAATAAATTTGTTGTATGCAACCCTTTTTTAACGTCCCACTACTAGGCACGGACACTGGACACGGGCCTCCCTTCAATACGAGTGAGATCAGGCCATAGTCCACCATGAGTCTTTCGAAAACTTGCTAGGTTCTCTCAGACATGCTGGTATCCCACGATATTTTCTTTCACCATAAGACAAGTGGTACTCATGTTTAAAATTATTTGCACATAAAAATATCAGAGAATCCGAGATTTGAATCCGCTTCACACGGTTTCTCAAACGAGTGCATTAGGTACCACTGGGCTTAACGAAATTTATAAATTTACTGCCTTAAATAAACTTAGTTTATGTATACCAATAACATAGCATTTAATTGAAATTGCGACATCCAACCACTATGTAAGAACTAAGCTAGAATTCATCTATATCATTTAATTTTGGATAAAATAAATTCCACGAAAGAAATATTAAAAACTAAGAAAATAGTCGAGTAATCTATCAAATGAGCGCTTATGAGTTACATAAATGTTACCTTAGCGGGTCTGAGACACGAGTCTCTACGGCGCCGTCGGGCGCAGGCGACAAGGCGCCGGCTGGTAGAACATGAAGCGTACTTGTATACTGGAAGGAACAAAGCATGCTATCTAAACTTTTGTAGGTAGGCACTTTCTGTAACAGCTTTATAATGGACCTTTGAGACGTCTTAAACCTCAGTCTCTCCAGTGACCATGATTGCTGTAAAGTATTTGAAACGTCGGGAACCAAACATCAAAATGTATCCGCGAAAAATCCGAAAAGATAGTTTTATTTAGAATGTCCTATAGGAAATCATAATAAACTTAATTGAAGTTGGAGAAAACGCGCCGTTGAATTGCTTTATCGCGCGTTTACTAAACGTTTTAAATAAAGCTATAAAATGTATGGCAAAAAGACATAGGGACGCACCCGAGCGAAGCGAGAGCAAGTCGCTAGTTGTTTATGAACTTATATAATATATTATTGTGTATGAATTTCAAGGTTTTATGGTAATTTTTAAAGAAATAATATTTTAAGTAATATGAGTAAGTAATAACGAATAGTCACAAAAAGTTTGTTGTGTTTTAAAACTATGATAAGTTTTGATAGAAATATTATAGACGGGTATTAAATATTATTTATTTGTACATAATAATTTATTAACATACTAGCGATGTACTCTTGCTTCGCTCGGGTGCCTCTAGTATTTGTTATATTTTATACAGGTTTTTGTTTTGTTTTGACAGGCAGTATTTTGGTAAATTTTATTAACTGTAACCTACATGTTGCTGTTACTCTATCTGGATACAAAAATTCAAATCTAAAAATTCAAGAAAAGCATACACAAATATTTAACACATGTACATTCGCATTTATGATAGTGTAGTGTGATTTTTATACTATACCTAGCATTGCCCGCGGCTCCGCCTGCGTTCAGATGACCAAAAACCAAATTCTTAGGTTTTATTATTAGTATACTCTTACATTGCAGTTTTTGTATTATTTCTCAGAAATGAAATATTTTCCCGCGGTAAAAAATATCTTATATGTTGACCCGGATAACCAGCTATCACTATACCAACTTTCATCAAAATCCCCCTCAATGGTTTTTTATGATGCCGTAACAGACAGACAGACAGACAAAAATTCTAAAAACTGTAGATTCGGTCTCTGTATCGATAATAACGTTTATTTCAATAAGATATTCCAAAAAATATTTTATGTACAGATTCGGATTAGTTACAATTTTATTATATGTATAGATTGACCATATTTAGGATCAGTGAGTTTTTATCATCTCGTAAACAATATCCAAACTGAAGGAGCGATTTCTTATTCATTATCAGCTTTATCTTTATTTCAAACTAGCGACTCACCCTCGCTTCGCTCGGGTTTGGCCCTAGCTTGCTTCCCAATACAAATTTTCATCCCCATTTTCACCCCCTTAAGGGATAATATGCAGGATAAAAAGTATCATATGTCCTTTCCAGGGTCTCATACGTAAGAGATTAGGCGCAAGACCAACAGCCTTACGTTACGTGCTCTCCCAAGCACGGGAGTGAAACACGACCAACTTTCCAACTACGAGACGAGACCCAAAATAATACATAAGCTGTAAGTAATAAAATTTAAAAAAGGCAGCGTTGGTCGTTTGCCAAAAGATATACATATGTACATAATATTTATTATACATATGTATATGTAATCGATCTTTTTGTATCAAGTAGCAAAAGCCTTCTTGGGATGCGAGCAAAGCGAGTAGGTTACAAGTAATAAATAAAAAGTCTATGAAAACATATTGAAAATTAAGTAAACAATACAAGTTGTGTAATATAAAAACATTCCGCGATTACGTGGAAAGTATGAAGTACGAGTGCGGTCGTAAAGTCGTCAATTTAGTCAAACTCCGCAATGACCGGACCACCAGCGTTGTGCTCAAACGGTGCGTGCGATCTTATACTGTATACAGTGTACGGCTTTATTTTATATCTTCTACTTCATTTGGATAAATTTATATTATTTACTAGCATTGCCCGCGGCTCCGCCCGCGTTCAGATGATCAAAAATCAAATTCTTAGGTTTTACATATTAGTATACATTACATTCGTCTTACATTGCAGTTTTTGTATTTTTTCTCAGAAATGAGACATTTTCCCGCGATAAAAAGTACTCTATTTGTTGACCCGGATAACCAGCTATCACCATAAGACATCAAAATCCCTCCAGTGGTGTTTCTGTGATGCGCTAACTGACAGACAGGCAGACAGACAAAAATTCTAAAAACTATAGATTCAGTCTCTGTATAGATAATAATGTATATTTCAATAAGATTTTCCAAAAAATATTTAATATACAGATTCGGTTTATTTACAATTTTATTATATGTATAGATTTTGTGATAAAAATTCATTTTAGTTACTTAAATCATTGAATGAAAATCGAGAAGACCATAGTATAATTAAGATCTGAATTAACAAACATTAACAAGAAATTGTTCTTCAAATATAAGTTACAAGCTATATAAAAAATGATTTTGTTTTGTGTATGTTGTAGTCTCACACCTCCTCCTTGACGTGACCTTGTCGTGGTGGAGGGACTCATGAGCATTAGCGTCCGGCAGTGGCCCACTTCGGTAGCCGGTGTACCATGCGGTTTGCTCCTGGTACTTCTCTGATAGCAGAGTAGACCGTGACAGTAACCTCATAGGGCTGCAGGCCACAACAACCATAGTTGTTGTGGCTTGCTTCGGGTACTTGTCGTCGGGGTGTCGTGCTTGAGTGCGTAAGCGATCCTGCGAAGCCTCATTAAGACGGGGAAGGTTTTTTGGGATTAAGTGAGAGTACAGGCTTTCGCCAGTTCTTTTCGGAACTGAGGCTTTTTCTTTTCGAACTGGTTATAGACTCACGACGTTCAGTAATTTTTTTCAATAATTTATTGATATAATAAAGTATTTTGTTTATAGAATACACATTTATAATTATATTACAGATTATAACGAATTATGGGTGATTGACGGTGAAGAGAGCATTTAAAGGCGTCAGATTATAATATAACATATAAACAATTTCATACATATCTAAAAAAAATTAATTAAATTATGATGATGTTCTTCCGACCGATTCCGGCCACGGCGGCCAATCTCATTGAGACTAGCCAACTGCGCAGGAGATATTATAGTGCACAAGTGTACGCGCAGACACAACGTGCACTCTTTATTCCTGTCACTCTCATACTCCGGTGGGACGACTGCTCGACACGACCAGTGAGAGTTAAGGCGCAGGACCGATGGCTTAAGGTGCTCTCCAAGGCAGGGGATGAAACACCGCCAATTTCCCAACTCCGGGCTGTTTCTGAGGCTTACTTATACAGAAAGACTCAATAACTAAATTTGGCCCGACCCGGGACTCGAACTCAGGAACTCCGGGTGTGCAGCCGCACATGCTAGCCACTACACCACCGAGGAAGTTAATAATATTATATTATAGGGAAATATAGGTAGTATAGTTAAATCTCATGTAATCCAAAATCAGCCCAGAAGGGTTTATAATATTTTAACAATACACCAATACCTCTTGTGTATTAGGATAAAAATCAACCCATAAGCAACCTAATATGAAATTTGTCCCCGAAAAATCGTTGATAAGAAACAAAAAAAAGAACGCACACGAACATAGAACCCTCCTCCTTTTTGCATGTCGGTTAAAAAGTCAATAAAATTACCATAATAAATTATATTAAAACTTAAGGATGAGCCAATAATCAGTAAAAAAGTAAAATAAGTGAATATTACTCAATAATTAATAAGACATTTAAAAATTATACACTTCGAATTCATTTAAGTTTTTCGAAGCACAGTGACAATTCAAAAGAGAAATAAAATATTACTATAACTTTTTCTTGTACATGTAATTGTTTCTAATGGTTTTTTTTTCTCTTTCTTTTTATGTTTGTAATAATTTATAAAGTATAATCTAGTTAGTGTAAATGGCACCGCCGTTCTAATTAGATGTAAATAAATAAATCGTATTTTTTTAAAAAAGGAGAAAAAAGAGAGAAAGAAGGAAAAAATCCAAAAATCTTTTTCGTGCATCCTTTGCCACTTTATTAACCTTTAATAAAAAAAGGAATTAATTAAATTTCTAAGAAATCTATTGTTGACTGTAACGCCGGCGTGTCCGTAGTCTTGGAAATCTTCTATAATTTACTACATTAATATACCATTTAATAATAAGCATTTTTTAATACTTTAATAGTACAGATATTACGCCATTAGTCAAATTACTAAAGTATAATATAATTTAATTCTATTTCTAATATACCCACTATCGCTCGTGTACAGGAACTCGCCGCACCGTGGGAACTGAGATCCTGCTTAATCCCTCGGCCGACGGTTCTCTGTTCTGCATAGTTTATTTGTGTCGCCAGACTTGTTATTGTACCAATTCGACGACAAGTTTGGCTCAGTTTGTAGTGATCCTACTTGCTGTGCCAGCAGTCGCGGGTTTAGTCTCGCTGGGGGCATTCATTTGTGTGATGACCACGAATGCTCGTACTCCAGTCATGGGTGTTATTATTTATAATATGTATGTATTTAAAGTTATATATGTGTATCAACTACCTGGTATCCATAACACAAGCCTGCTGTGTGCTGTGTGTTAATGTCCCAACATATTTATTATTTACTAGCGACTCACCCTCGCTTTGCTTGGGTTCGTCATTTGGTTGATATTCCATACAAACTTTCATCCCCATTTTCACCCTCTTAAGGGATGATTTCCGGGAAAAAAATCCTATGTCCTTCCCAGGGTCTCAAACTATCTTCTTACTTAATTTCATCTAAATCGGTTCAGTAGATCCAGAGATTATCTCTACAACCTTACAAACTCTTAAACTTTACCTCTTTATAATATTATATTAGTATCGATTTATTTAATGTATGTGCGTGTGCATGTCGGTATGTATGTATATTTATTAACCATAATGACTTCTTAACAAAAATGTTATATCGAATTTAAAGATAATTTTAAAAAAAGTTAAAATTTTGATGATGCTTTTGAAAATGAATCAGCTTATATGCTTCTAGGGTTCCATATTTATAAAAAAAAATCCAACACTAATGATGAAACGAAGGATAATAACCTTTAAGTCTGCGCAATTTTTTTGTTAATTATAACAAACTCTATGTGTTTTTAACCTCAATGAACTTTTTTAATAAGTATTTTTAAATAGAGTTATAATTATGTTATTTCTCATGAGCAAAAGCACACAAAACATAGTTAATCTCTGATCAAAATCTAAATGCTCTTATTTAATGAAGTCATAAGAAACTGAATGATGAGATTGAGAAAGATTTGCAGTAGTTTGTTATTAGATACTAGCGACTCACCCCCGCTTTGCTCGGGTTCGTTCCTAAGTGATTCTTTAAATTGATATAATTTTTTTGTGTATGAACCGATTGAAATATAATAAATACTAAATGTTAAGTGAAGCTTATCACAATACATTAGTGAAAACCGCACCCAAATCGTTTAAGCTGTTTCTAAGATTAGCGCCCACAAACGCACAGACAAACAAACAAAAATTCTAAAAATTATTGTTTTGGGTTCTATTGCGTTAATAAAGATCCCCAATAATAGTTTTTATCAAATATCTTCAATGAACAGGCAGCGATCAGCAGATATAGTTACAGATTTATTATATGTATATATTTAATATTTCGTGTAAAAATGACTGATTATTTAGATTAGTATTACATGTATAAGAGCGACAGTGCAATAAAAAATAAAAAAATAATAATCGCAGGAGCATTTTTAATTGCACTATGACGTCAATTTCATTTATTAGAATCATGAAAAGCACTTTATTTTATAAATATGTAATATATTCAATTATTTTATAAATAATATATTTATTTTACAAATATTATATTCATTTTGTGTATTTTTTAAATCTAAGAACGTCAACACTTTCCAAATGGTATATTTTTATTATCAGTAGTTAAAAGATTATCTTTTTATATACATATATAAAAATAATAAAGAAATTTGTATATATACTTGGGTAATTTATTTAAAAGAATGCTTAGGTAATCTTAGTGTATAGGAATATATTATGAAATAAAATAGGTAAAAAATATTTAAATATTAAAAAAAAACGTAGGTAGTTGAAAAAAAGATACTTATTTATATATTTACTCTTTACGCTACGCCCAAAGATTTTATTTTTGAGTCTGATCAATGCCCTAGATTGATGAGGAGAGTAATGTGATGACTGGTAGGGACCTATCTAACTATTTTTTAGCTTTTAGTACATTATTTACATCATTATTATCTTTTTTCTTCAAAAAAATCGTTTAACTATTATTATTTTTTACCCATTTTAATTTAAAGTTATTAGTTTTTTTTTAAATTTTAAACTGTCTAAGCCCTATAATCCGCCATGCACTGTGTTCTACTTGTAAAAGCCCTTTTATTTGATACCCATATTGAGGGATTTGTAAAAAAATATGTATCTAATGGACCATTTTGTTAGCAGAGATTTGATATTTTTTCATAGTATTCATGTATTCTAATAGTCATAATATAATAAAAGCCCTATCATTTGATACCCATATTGAGGCGATTGTGGAAAACTATGTATACTAAATTGTAGCTATCCTTTACCAAATGCACAAAGAAAGTATAATCCGATAGACTTTTTTACATTTATAATATTTACGAATTGTGTATTTAGGTACTAATTTAGCCAAAAGCTGTGAGTTATTTATTTCAGTTTTATATCGTAACTAGCTGACCCGACAGACGTTGTCCTGTCTACACGTCTTTAATTTGAAAATTTCAAACTTTTTTTAATAAGCTAAAACATTCTGGACCATTTTGATGAAAATTATTATTCAAATTGTGAATCTAAACCATTCTCAGATCCCCTTGAACACACACAAAAAATTTCATCAAAATCGGTCCAGTCGTTTGAGAGAAGTTCAGTGACATACACACTCACAGAAGAATTATAAATATATAAAGATAAGACACATTTGATTTTATATTAGTTATCTATTGTTTGAAAGTAACACTCGAATCGGTTTATCCAATGAGAGCTTTAGAGTGTGTAGAAGATTATGTTTTTAATCTTTATATGTAACAATATTAATTATTAAAGTTGGATATAAGTACAACTATGTTAATAACTACAGTGCTTATGCAAATTAGTAGGTACTATGTATAGTATGAGATCCAAAGTAAGATCGCCCTTCATTATCTGCTTACTGGATGAAAACTTTATAAAAATAACACCGATAGGTTGACAAATGAAACCTTTAATTGAAAAAAATATAAAGCTTTATTTAATATTAATTATAAGTACGAACATTCAGTATAGCAACTAGATAAGCAACTAAATAAAATATTCACATTATTTCCATTAAAAGGAACCTTTGATCATATTTTATTAATTCGGCAGCACATGTAATAAATACGAGTTCATATTAATGTTATTTTGAATAATACAATATACATATTATAAGTTAAAAAAAACTTTCACTCTCTGAACAGATTTGAAGAGCGATGTTGCTTTGGATCTTAGAGTACTACGATTCCCTGCTTAGCGTACAACATTGTAGTAATTTTATTTTGCGCTTAAGAAATTATCGATGATATACGGTATCGTTTCGAAATATATATATATATATATATATATATATATATATATATATATATATATATCAATTTTAGAGATTTCAAATTAATTATCCGTTTTTGATGTTACTTTTAGACATTTTTAAGAGTGAGAATTAAAACGAAATACAATAAAGTAGAGACAAATCTCAATTAGTATCTTCCTACGTTCAGTTGAATTAATTTAATGTATGATATTTACATTATAATACAAAAAAGTGTGAAACTCATTAAAAAAGATTAAATAATATGTACGCGATTTTAGAACTATTTAAATTTTAACATATTTTATAACAATTTTGCATTTCCACCTTCATTTACGAAACATAATCATGCAAATGCATTTTACAATTATTACATTCTAGCGACTCTCCCTTGCTTTGCTCGGGATCATACCTAGTGATAAACAAAAACAAATCTGCACCACGGGAACCGTATATTTTTCTGGAATAAAAAGTGATCTACGTGCTATTCCAGACTATAATCTATCTCTGTGTCAAATTTCATCCAGATCCGTTCAGCCGTTCTGGCGTGATTACGTAACAAACATCCATCCAAACATTCTCATTTATAATATTTATGGGATTAACTATATATTTTTAAGAGTTACTTTTCCTTTCCTAAGTCCATCCCAAAGCGAAACAATCGCCACTCGCTCACATAATCCCTCACCGCTACCATCGCTATTTAAAGTCGGCTCTTACAC